TCCATACTGTCTGTAAAAGTGAAACGAAATGCTAGATTAAAAAAAAAAATGAAGTAACTGATTTTTGTTATTATTTTTTTAGGCCTGGTGAGACAATCAATAATTTGGTTAACGATGTGCCATAGCTCTAAGTCTCATCAGAACAGCAGTAGTACTCAACCCTTTTTCTATATATATTTTTTGAACTGTTAATTTATTTTGTCACAGAGTCCTTTTAGGATGATGTCATGCACTGTGGACTTGTATTACCATAACTCTGGAGCAGAAGGACATCTTTTTGTGTCAATGTGAGCAGTCTGTTGTTCTGCCATATAAACAAATGTTTACAATTGCTTGCTCTTATGGAACCACTTCATCTAAGATTACTGCATTGAGTAAAGTTCACAGTAAACGAGTTCATGCATCATTTTTGAGCGCAACATGTTCAAACTATGGTTAAAAAATTGACATGGGTTCCCTTTGCTTGCTTCCAGAGACTAGTATGAATTAGCGCTTTAAAATGAGTTTTATTGACCTCGCAAAGTCTCTGTCAATTATGTCTTTGTGACACTTTTGTTTCAGATTGTAAAGATAACCTGTGCAAATACAAACTTCGTTTTTACAAAGTCTACTTTGACTACAAAATTGGGAGAACTAAAGCTATTCAAAGCAACCTAGCCCTGTTCTTTGTTGGCAACAATAACATAAGTCAAATGTAAGTGAGAACTTGCATTTATGTCAAGGCTTTAAACTACGCCGCTTAAAACCTTAATTTTATTGTTTTGAACAACTCAGAGGTTGAATTGGGTGAAGGCTACATCCACCCTTAGGATGTTCTGGCTGAGATAACTCCATCTTATTATTAATCAGCTGTTCATGTCTTGAAGCCCCATACCATCACAACACTACCATCCTGCTTGGATGTTGATATACTAACAGGCTGAAACAATCGGATTAATCACGATTAATCGATTATTTAAATAATCATCACCTTATTTAGTAATCGATCAACCCTTAACTGGAATATAGAGACTTTAAAATACGCCTTTAGCTTTCAGAGCAACCCAATAAGAGCAGCGATTATATGAACATTGTAAAAAAAAAATATCTAAATATTTTTGCATTTAAGATAAAAAAGAAACAAATGAAAAACTTTTTGGTCTGTCAATATGCAAGTAAAAACGTTTTAGTTTCACTGGTTTCATTTAGTAAAAAATCTTTAACTGACCTTTTGCTACAGCATCTGATTATTAATCGATTTGCCAAATTAGCCAAAGTAGCCCAATCCTACGAGATCATCAAGGTGTTTTTTTCCGAAATCTAACATTTTTTTTTAGTTATTGTTGCATTCAGCAGCGGTTTTCTCCTTATAACTCTAATAAAGGGCACTTGTGCCAGTTTGCTTCCTAGCAGAATCCTGCTGAAGCAAGTTAGAGCGACACTGGATGAGACTTTGTTCTAGGCTCTTCTGTGAACTTATGGATGAGTTAAAAATTTGGGTCATTTAGTAGCGACATCTCTGCTAGGTACATTTACTGCTGTTTTATGTTCTTATGTTGGCTCTAATTAGACAATAGAAAACGTTTTTTTAACATTACCAGACTAATAGTTGGCAAGTCTCATGTTTTTCCATCTGTTCATGAATTTCTTTAGAACAAGTTGTGAAATTTTTTCTTTTGAAAAATCTTGTATTCCTGTATATTGTCAGACAGCAATAAAAAAATAGTACACAGTAACAGTAATAAAAGAAAAAAATAGGACTGGATGGGGCTAGTTAAACGTAGGTTTCAAAAGATTAAATCAAAGGTCGTTCCTTTCATAAGATGCAAAATTATGTTTTACCGTAAATAAGGCTGGGTTGGTTTGGATAGCATGTATCTCTAAATAAATAAATTCGTCAGGTTTTAAAATTTTATTTATGCAGATTATATTTCATAATAAAAATTACTTATATTATCTAAAATAAAAGCGTGACAAGAAAGCAAAAGAAACAATCTTTTTACAGTATTATATATTTGTTAGAGGCTTTAATTCTGAGGTCATACATTAGTTGCTGAACATCTTAAAGGTGCCCTGTGCAGTTTGTCTGCTCAACGACACAGTATGTGTTTATAAATTTAGGACTTCATTTCTTAAAAATACCTTTTCGCTTTACAAAACCTCATAACATGTATTTATAAATCCACATTTCTATTTTGGAGAGTTAAGCAGTGCAGGTGCTTTAATATTTAACAAACCCCTATCTTTTTTCTGCATTTTATATTTTGCCAAATCCCACCTATGTTTTACCTAGAAGCTCAGATCTGCTTCATTATGACAAAACGACTCAATACTAACTGTTTTTAACCCAGTTTTGAGTCAAATACACAGTGGCTATTCAAGCACCCTGTTAAAATGCTATATTTTGATGATGTTGAAAATTTGCATAAATTTATTTTTTCTACATGTAGTTCTGACGTTTACCAAGTAATATTAAATTGCAAAACAAATCTGTTGAGGGAATACAGAAGGACCTAACAACCTGGTTGCATATAGGTAAACAAACCGTAGACTAATACTGTATTGAACTAAGTTTTAATTCATTTTAATTAGGGCTGAAACAATTAATCAGATTAATCGATTATTGAAATAAGCGTAAACTAATTTAGTAATCGATAAATCATTAACTGGACTATAGAGACTGTAAAACAATCCTTTAGCTGACAGAGCAACCCATATAGAGCAGTAATTATACCACAGTTGTAAAAAATTTTTTTTTTTTACATTTTGCATTTAAGATAATCTTTTTCGTCTGTCGATATGCTCTATCCAGAACTAATAAAGCGGAAAAGCTTTATTTTTACCTGTTTTAATTTAGCAAAAAGTCTACTTTAAAGGACCTTTTGCTATTCAAGAATTAATATAAAAAGTAATTGACAGATGAATTGATTTGCAAAATAATCATTAGTTGCAGCTCTAATTGTAATCAGTCTCATCTTTAGATAAGTCTGTAATAATCCTGCATTGTTTAATCCCATTATTGTTGTTAAGGGGCTCTAAAGGTGATATGCTATAATGTTTTGCACCAAACTTGCCTTCTCAAATTGTGTAAGATGTTCGGGTCTGGGTTTATTACACTATAAAACATTCCTCTACAAGATTATGAGAGATTTAAACCAATTCTGGATGGCTTTTGGACTTCCAAGGCTTCTGTTATATAATCCTACTATTAGTCCAAACAAATGAAGAAAGGAGATCATCATGTAGAACAAAAGCATTACTAACTAAAAGTGTCTGTGGCTCTTTCTAGTGTGGCTATGGGTTCCCTGGCAACCTCCCATCTTGTATTTAATCTCTTATAGAGAAACATTCAGTTTTGATCATGTCATAGTTTTTTCCATATATTATCCAATTATTAATAACTGTTTTCACTTTGCCATAGAGACACAACACAGCGCCTTTTCTTTCAACCTATGGCTTTAGTTGAGGAATGCAGTTAAGCAAATGTAGAGGAATTAGATGTAGGCAGATCTCTAGTAGGTGTATAACTTGGAGGATTGAAGAAGTTTGAGTTTAAAATGTTAAAAGTTTACATTTTCTGACATATTGGGTTGTTTTTTTAGTTTAATAACAGGATATATATATATATATATATATATATATATATATATATATATATATATATATGTATATGTGTAAAACATTAAAAGTAGAGAAAGGGTTCTGGGGTTATGCCTAAGAATGAGACGTATAATTGGTTTTGGCTTTTCTCCATCTCTCTAAACAAACCCATATGGTCTGATGAGATAAATGACTCGCAAAATATGAAAAGCAGAAAGGGAGTTGATAAAATGTCTTTTATATGATGCGTGCAAAGTTACAAGCCTGCTGCACACATGTAAAAACTGCATCAAGGGGGGGGGGGATTAACTGTCACAAGTGGAGGATTTCGGGCAAGTTTAAGAAGAGTGTTGTTAAGATGTTGAAATGGTACCTCCTATGAGGTGCTTATGAAAAGTGTAAACATCTAAATAACAGGCTTGAAGGCTTATCTTGTTTACTTGTGAATCATGTTCTTTTCCTTCTGTCTGGTGAAACTTGAAACAATTTGAAGGAACACGAGTGATTTAACGTCCATGTCTTGGTGTGAAGATAAAAACAACAACAAAGGGCATTGACGCATAAAACACTCCTTTTCTTGTATTGCATGCAGTTAAAAGGACTGGGAGGGCACAGCTTTAAAAACAAGACTATATAAACGTACTGTAGGTGTATAAAAATCAGATTATTGTAATAATGTTTGTTTGCAGAAATAAAATTTAGGTGAAATTTGGGTATGATCATTTTCAACTCGTAGGGTGCTAAATCACAGGGAAACTGCACTCTTAACAGGATTATGACTCAAGCTATTAAAAAGTTAGCAAGAATTTATAAGACATGATCTGTGCCACAGCTTTTTTTTTTTCTTTTTGCAATGTACCAAGTCTTGCTGGGATATTAAAACTTTTATTAAAGCTTGTCAGCGAAGGCACTTAGACTCTGAAGCTAAAATCACATTGGGCCATGCCCACTGGATATGCTGTTCCACACAGCATCACTCATTGTGGAAACCTTTACAGTGTAGCTTGAGCAAATAAATTCGGCACCTCTCCACTCTTCCTGAAGATGAACCAACTGACTTCAAACCCTAACCTTAACTTTAAAAGGAAATCTTAAAGGGTGACTTTAGACAAGTAAGTAGACATAGCCTCTCTCCTTATCCTGGATAAGACACTTACATGGGATCTTCTAGAGGCATTCAGTGTCGTAACTGTTAAAAACAGACTAATCTTTTATGAACTTAGATTGAAATCTCGTAGTCTGTGTTGGCTATGCATGTTTTTCTACTACAGTTCTTCCTTCCACTTAACTTTCTATTAATGTATTTGCATAGAGTTCCAATTAAACAACTAGCTGATTTAGCAATGACCTGTTGCTATTGGCCCTTCTTGTGGAGGCTGTCCAGCACTATAAAACCAGCAGTCTTTCCAATAATTCTGTGCCACATTATAGCTTGTGCATAAAAACAAAATCATTTATTTTATGGACTCATGTAAAAATACAGTAAAAAAATACAGAAGCAGAATATATTTTTTCTCAACAGCTGTAAGCCATAAACATCTAATGTAGCAGAAATACACACAAGAAAAACAGCACTATGGGTTTAATAAATCAAGATTCTCCTTTTGAACTACATTAAAGTTACTTTTCGGTGATCTTTCAATTTACAAACGAACACCTGATGATAAAAAATAACTTAAATTTCTTCAGTTTCAGGTTAAAAACTTTAGAAAGCTGAAACAAGCCAAGAAATCTGCTGCAGTGAAACAGGAAGTCGTCACTAATTGTGTCTTCCTCCCAGTGTGAGTGGATCTGCAAACACAAATTCGCATGGGGGTTGTGTGACCTTATGCGAGTGGCAGTAACTTCCTCGGTGGCTTTGAAATACTCAGAGTAGAGCGACTGCACTCTGTGGGAGGTGGGGGGGAGCTAGCATTAGGGAAGGAGGGGCAAAAAGGCGGAGTTAGTGGGGAAAATTCACCCCTCTATAACATTAGCTGCTCCTGTACCAAGGCCCAAATCTCCCTCCAGCAGGTCCTCCTCCCGCTCTGAACCAGAGTCGCTGCTTTGCTTGGATGAAACCTCAGATTTCTCCAAATTCATGTTGGAGTCCTCTGGCTCAGTCTCAAAGGGCGTTTCCTCATCCTGAAAAGCAAATTAAATCATAATAAAAAAAATGGGTTGGATTAAAAATGACTCTATAGGTTCCATCTATTCTAACAAAAAAGTATTTCCAATTAAATGGCAAAAGAGGAGTCTTACCTTCTGTTTACGGTGGCAACAGAAGACTCCAGTAAATCTACCACACCACTGCGGCAGCGTGTCCGTCAGCGGGGGGCCACAGTGTGTTAGCAGGGGCTTTAGATATCTGTATCCTCATTAAGGCATTAAGCAAGGCCATTATTACAGATACAAATGCTTATATATATAGTGAGACGTATTATAAAAGAGTAACAGCTCAAAAAGCTTTTAGGAATCAGCAAAATGATGTCAGCTGATTTACACAGATTAATGTCAGTGATCTGACAGATCATTTGTAAACAATGTTAAGCTGGAGGAGGGTTTCCATTTTAGCTGTGGATTTCAATGAAGAACATCAGATCTCAGTTCACTATCTTCAAATAAGAAGGAAAGATTCAATTATTTATGAGCAACAATTTAGGAATGCAGACCCCAAATAAAAAAGTACAGTAGCTTTTATTCTGAACATGTGACACAACCTCATTACAACCCAAATCTTCACTGTATCATACTGAGATTTTAGGAGGTACCTCCATTAGTGTCATGAAAAAAGGATCTGAAAAATATGTTATGTGGTTAAGATTTGCCACAAACCATATCAGGAACACAGAACATGTGAAGAAGAGGATGCTTTGGTGAAGTGAGACCAAAACTTAATGGACCCAAAATCTGGAACGAGCCATCCCCTATGTGAAACACAGAGGTGGCTGCATCATGCCGAAGGGATGTTTTTCCTGGAACAGGGCAGCTTGTCAGAATTTAAGAGAAGATTGTTGGAATTATGTACAGGGCAGTACGAGAGGAAACCTGTAAGAAACTCCAAATGCTCACCTTCCATGAGGCCAAGGTCCCTAAACTTATGGATTTACGCACATATATTACCTGCTGTAAAATAGGCCAACTTGTTGTTTTTCCAATAAATTCAACTGGCAATGCGATTTTTTCTCCATCAGTCTAGGAATCAACTGTCAGCATATGACAGCTGTTATAAGCTTCTAGGCTTTTAATAAGTCAGGTTATATATAAGGGCACCCTACAAAATCCTTTTAATATATTTAGAGACAGTTATATCTAATATCAAAGAAATGTATCAAATATGAATAAGCAATGGCTTTCGATGTTTTTTCTGCAAAATAAACCCATATTTATTGTCTGTAAACCAGTTTAAATCTAAAAGAAGAGAAACATTAGGTGCAAATAAGTAACAATTGTTAGTATTCAAAATGAAAGGTTTTTCTACCTCTGATAAATACAGTACTTGGTGTTTTTCTGGTGGGTAAGGTGAGAGTGAACTGCATGGTTTTAATCACTGGTGGTTCTGCAAAGGGGATTAAAATAGTGTTAAAAGTTACAAATCATACATTCAGTTATCCTCAACATAATGATGAAACTCAGAACAGTCAACAATGAGCTCACGTTTGTTTGTCCAACAAACAAACACGTTTTATGCAAAAGTGAGAGCAGAAAAAGATCAAGGATAATGTTCTCTGGACAGATGAGAGTAAAACTTTGCAGAGGAGGGGCGGGTAACTAAAAATGTAAAATCCAAATATAAAATAATAATAAAATTAATAATAAAAATAAACAATTGCTCAGCTGGATTGAAAGGCACAAGCTCTTTCTGCATCTTCTCCCATTAATGATGGGTTTCCTCCAGCTAGTCCTGCTTCCTTCCATAGTTCAAAAATAGGATCATTTATTAATTCAAGACATCTTTAGGTATGAATGCATGCATGGTTGTATTCTATATGCGTCTTTGACATGTTATGGACCGACCTATCGCTCAAAGACCAATAAACAAGCTAATGCAAAGAAAGGAGACCCTTCCTTCCACTTCAGAACTGTGGGCTAAAACTTGCTGGTATAGCAGCTAATAAAATACTCTGAACTTCATTTAGAACACACTGTGCGCTCTGTCTACTTTGGCTTTAAACCACTATCTTGTCATAACCTCTTGGTTTAAAATAGAAACAGCACATTTTACTGTTATGCTAAAAAGATGAACATCTTTGCAGCTACACGGAGGAGGCCATTTCTTTTATGAAGTCATTAAGAGCCGGTGGCCCTTCTGACAAGGAATAGAGCTTAAAATTAGTCATTCCAGCACCAGGTTCTTTTGTTATGTTTCATTTAGAACTCCAAGGGTTTGAAATATTTAATTTCACACAGATGCAATAACTTCTATAAATTCAGATGTAGAAAAAACATAAATTTAATTTTGTTGCAGGAAATCAAGTTATTATATACTTTGAGTGAAGCAAAAAAAACGAAAAGAAAAACAGGTCACAATTACCGTTGAAGAATGGCTATGAAGCAGTGCAGAGAGTCACCTCACAGACCAGCGAAGAGAATGACTGCAGACAGAAATGATCTATTATGTTGAGGAAGGAAATCAACATGCTTCAGGCAAATGCATAATAAAAATTACACCCTGCGATAAGCCTCTAAAACCTCTCTAATCAGGGCAGTTAGTGACAGCATATTCCATTAAACACTTGATCCAGGATCCCCTTTATTACAGCTCCTTAAATATGACAGCACACTCATTAGCCTTTAGCTGTAAAAGGACTAACAGTTCTAATTAGTAGCTACTTTCCAATAAGAGTTAAGGCTTTGTTCGGGCTGTTTCTTTTGAAAGAGAGACAAAAATCACGCAACAGAATAAACACAGCAGATCTACCTTTGCGTGTGTGATGGATAATGGGGGAAGTAAAAGTGCACAGTGCCCTGACTTAGAACAAAAGCAAATACAAATGTATGAAGGAAATGATCTAATCTGGCTTTGACCTCTGATAAACCTCTGTTAAGGTTATCAGTGATGAGAAAAGGGCTGGGATTATGAGCTTCTTTGTGTTTGCTAACAGGATTCTTTATAAGTGTTTGAAAATAAAGAACAGAAAGAAAACAAAGAGGGTACAGGGAGGAGAAAAGCCTACATGGTGTACTCCTGTATCACACTACAATAATACCGCCCAGCGGATGGTTGTTTTATTGCGGGAGCTGCTCTCCGTTTCATGGCGGTGTCATATTATGTTTACGTATAATGGTGCTGAGAGGTTCTCTGCTGGTAGACGGCTAGCTGCTGTTACAGCCATGTCTCTCCCCCTCCTCCCATCCCATATGTCACCTCTCACCATTTTCAAAACTATTATCTTTTAGTTTTCTTAAACTGTTTCATAAAACCAATTCATGTTAATGTTGATATAAGCTGTTCCACAAATAATCTACGATAAACTAAATGTATTAACTGGGTTATTTCTAAATAAAGACAAAAATTCTGACTCAAAGTGGTGACTAACTGTTGAGCAGAAAGGAGAAAAAATATAATTTTTTTCCCTCATAAAAATGATTTTTCTGTTAGAACTAACTCAGTTTCAGTTAGAATGGGATTGCCAAAGATCCTGCATTTAATGAGATTGTGGACTTTGGGCCATTTTAACAATATGCTTTCTAAACTGGCTGGACAAGAGCTTCAGTTGTTTTACTGCCTATAAACATGTTCTCTGATAGTTTGGCTAATGCCCTTTTAGAACACTTTCTATTTTTTATTTATTACATATGTTACAAACGTTTTGATCATGGTTTCATACTAGAAGCACTATAAAATGTTTAGAAGTTTATGGCTAAAGCATTTTGGGTTTTTTTCTGACTGAGCTCTCTGTGGTAACTGGAGTATAAAGCAGCTGCATTTGGTGACAGCCTTAGAGGGACCAAGTCTGTAAAGGGTTTAAAAATATTTGGGTTGGGTCTGAGTAATATATTCCAGATCTTATCTATAAAAAATGAAAAACAATCCTCCTTCTTTGTTTATAACCTGAATTCCGGACACTGAATAAGAATCATGTCTGGGAAGCAAACAAAATCCAGACAGGCAAACTATCAGTGGTGTCAAAAGTACACACATTTGTTACTTAAGTAAAAGTATAGATACTGCAGTTTATAAACACTCTGGTAAAAGTCGAAGTATCAACTTGTCCTCTTTACTCAAGTAAATGTGTCAAAGTATTAAAAAAGTTTTTAAAATCAGAAGCAGTGTGAGCAATTTGTATCCAACCAGACCTTTGTATGCTGTTCACTAGCTTGGTCACACACTGCGGTGGGTAGCATCCCATGTTCAACCAGTATGTATTGCTAGTCAGCCAAAGAGACCACTTCCATGCTCATTGAATATGACTGTACTCTGATTACAGGGGTTTTCTGAATTCCCAAAAATGCATTACCATTGCTTGATCTCACTTCAGCAATGTGACTACCCCGTACATGTTAACACAGTTATCTGATTTCTTTCACTGTCCAACATTTAAATATGTCCAAAGGAAAACAATGCAGCAAGCAAATGAGCAGCTTTATCTACATATTGCTGGGAATCAATCTATGGGGGCTCTCCTAATCTTTGCCTGATGGGAGGTGCTGTCTTTTCTTATTGGACAAAGAAATTAGAAGCAAATCCAGAGGTACTGGCAGACGGATTGCTGTCTCGTTGGGACTCATTACATTTTTCATTAGCCTAAAAAGTTTTATGGAGTTGTCACTCCACTGTGAGTCCATAAATTAGTACCACTCTATTCCTTACTCCAAACACCCAACCAACAAGTATGAAATGTACGAAGTCAGAATTCTGCCAAAAGAGCACATAGTAAAAACTAATACAAGCAGTTTTATTTAAAACACATGGAAGTGCACTGAATATTTGTCTCGGCAGCATTTCACTTTCCTGGGTTGGTTCCACCCTCAAAATGACAAAAGGTCAAACACAGAAACAGGTTAACACATGAGTAAGAGAGAATCTGCAGCCACATAAATCCCAAGCCATGAGCACAGAGAACAAGTATGCAGCCCTGCCTGTGATATACTTGGGTACCTCATGGAGCCAGTCTGGTAAACCACCATTGACTCTGGCCAATTGCATGACTTTCTGATGTGTCACTGCTAGCAGATAAGCCTTTCTGCTTATCTGCTAGCATAACAGAAAGATGGCGACCACAATGGGGCAATGTTTTAATGATGCTCTTTCTGGTATCAAAAGAGATTTATTTAACGTTAAAACTTCAACAACGGACAGATTTTGGACAATTTCTTCTTAAAGAGGATGTATTTGCTATTTTTCACTTGACATGTTTCACGGAC